CAGGGCGGTTCTTTCATCGCCGGGCCCTTGGTGCGCGTCGAGCGCCGCGTCTCGGACGTGACTTTCGATTTCCGTGCGGCTCCGGTCGTCCCCCGCGGCGCCTTTTTTATCGACGGCGCGCGTTCGGGGACGCGGGAACGGTTTTGTTTCGTTTTTTCTCTCGTCGTAAATCCCAATCGGACGTCCCGCGGTCCGCGGCGAGAGAATCGCCCTGTATGCGCGCGCGGTACTCGTGCACGGTTCGCGAACGTTTTGTCTGATAAATCCGACGATCGGCCCGCGGACCGCGCGTTTTAATTAACGTCGCGGGCCGGCCGTATAAAACACTATTACGCGGGCGTTCGAGCGCGAATTCACAATTATTTGCAATATTGCGGATCTATTAAACGCAAATTACGAGGAGGAGTCCGCGTCTATTATGCATTTGCCTCGCCGATTTCGGAACGCGAAACGGAAATAAAAACCGCGGAGCTACGCCGTACGTTTAACGTTACGTGCGCGTGTTATATTGTGCTTGCGGCGTACACGCACGGCGAGAGAGATTTTCGCCGCGACCGTTTTAATGAAAATAATGAAATAAAAATTGAAACGACTTTGTACGGCGCGCTGTGGCGGTATACGCTGTCCGCGGTTTGCCGGGTAATTGAAAAAAAAAAAAAATAAAAAAAATACAGTAAATACAAATCATATTAAACAATATCGGGGGAAAAAAAGATATAGGGTACTACCATAAACAATTTGCGTAATAATAATATTATCGTTGGAAAAAGAACACAACGATGTGGTTAAAAATGAAAATGTCTTATATTTGATAACATTTTCGAAAATGCAAAATTTATGAAAAAAATACAAAATACGAAATAATAAGAATTCTGATATATTATGCGCTTGACCTTTTTTTTAATTTTTTAAGAAACGTATATTGGTTTCACTATCTATACCACGTTTTTAGTTTTTGCGTCTGGAAACAACTTTTCTACCAGAAATCTTACTCGAATCGTCAACATCAGAGGTTCTTTCTGGTATGAAATGTCGTCTAGTTGATGCGTAAATTGGAAATGTCATTTTTCTCAACAACCCGGGAAAAAAAAACCATTGGTCCTCTCTGCCGAAACAATTTTCCCAGCTAAGGCTTCGGAAAAGGATGTGCAGTTCTAAAATTGGTTGGCGCAAGCTCAAAAACGCCAAACCTTAAACACACTGGTCGTCGACCTACTTAAGTTTTTCTACGTTGTCACTGCCGGTCCGAAAACTCGATCGGTTCGTCTGCACACGTCCCGTTTAACTTCTATGTTAAAAAAAACTCGACAGGGTCACCTGGACAAAAAATGCCGTACGTCAATCCTCCTGGGTCTATCGCGGGGTCTCTTACTTCTCTCCTATTTGTTCTCCAAAACGTATTCCATTCCCGAGCTGGTGTTGTTCGTGTATTCATTATAGCATTATAATATTATATAATACAACTCTATATTATAGCGACCGCATCATAATAACGGTTTTCGTTTCAGGCGACGAAATCCTGGCAGTCAACAACAAGCCGTTGCACGGGTTGAGTCATCAAGAAGCGATCTCGGTGTTTAAAGAGATCAAATTGGGAGAAGTGGCGTTGCACATCGGCAGGAGAGTGCCGAAAAGAACGCGTGAGTCGTGCAAGTCCATGCGAAGTCCTTGAAAAGTGAGCAAATCGTCAAATAGTAGATTTTCAATAATTAGGAAAGTCTTGTCTGCGATTTTTTAAGACCTTGCGAGATAACATTGTTACATTCGCTCCTACAAAAACAAAAAAAAAAAAAAAAACGTTTTATGACGAACCCACTAATAGTACACGGAGATTAAATGTATTGATTTTTTTTTTTTATTTTATTAATATAAAATAACAAGACTATATGTTTTATTTCTCGAAAAATAGGTTGTTTTTTTTTTTTTCAAGAAAAACAATACTCGTTAAGTTTCTCAACGGCAACTTTTTATGTGTAGGTATAGATAACATTATATAATTGTGCGCTGATGTCATTGACGTTATTGTATTTAAAAATCTCAACTCGCCATTCCGGAAATCGTAGAAAAACAACACAATAGACGTATTTTTTGTTTAACCGAACGTCAATACATCAGATAAGTTGTATTCGTAATATTTATGATACGCACGCAAATTGCCTTCGCATACCACATATTTTGTGTAACTTTTATTGCACATGTTTAAAATAGAGGCGGGCCCAGATTCCCGTTCAAAATATTTATGTTGCATTTATGAATAGCTGTTAGCTGGTTGGTTAAACGCCGACTTTTAACCACTGTTATCAATAATCCGTACGTAAACTAATAATCGTCTATAATTTTTCAGGAAGAATATTTATCGAGATTCTCATTTCAACGGGCGCTGTTATCACTGTCATGTTTGGTACCTCCAGTATACCTATAATATTATTCGGAGTTTAAAATGTTTTATTTATATATATATTACATATTATTAATTATTATATTACATTATACATTATATATTATGTTACCAGTGTGTAAATAAATTATTTGCAAACATTTTTATTTTTTTTTTTTTAAAAACTATAGCTGTCCCGTCCGCACCTTTTTAATTCCCTCCTTTTTTTTTTTTTTTACCTTTTAAACAAAAAAATCATCGAATAGAGTAGACGTGTTTTAATATTTACCAAATAATTGGTTTGAATCAGTAGCTGCTTATTACTATTAAACGTAAGCTATAACCAATTGCCGTCTACGCACCTCACCGCAGATGCCAAATCTGCCAAACAAAATATGAATAATAGTATTGTACAAAAGACAGTTGTCGTTTAAAATGATTTCTTCTCGCACAACAAAATATTGATTATACGAGGTACAAATAAAATTTATAATACATAATACCACAGACAAAATTTCAATGTAATACTTAGAAATTAAAATACCAGTGTGAGTATCCTTCCAAGTACTTACTAAAAATGTTTATAGCATGTCACAAAAACAGATATAAAATAGGTAATAATGTTTGATATGTTTTGTATTTAGGATATTTTACGGAACTAAACTGTAGTACTGTAGCTACTACCTACCTACATATATATATATTGATATATTTTCCATTTAAGTGAATACATACATTTTGGCTTAATAAAAATGAGTTACAAATTGCAAGGTTCATCAATAAGTTTGAAGTCGTGGTAAAAAAAAAAAATAATAATAATAACAAAGTTAGGCACTATTTTTTTTTTTTTTTAAATATGATTAAATTTATGATGAAATTCATTAAAAATAAGACAAATTAAACGATAATAACTTATTGTAACTTATTATTATTATGATATTATATAGGTATAGTAGGTATCAACTCAGTAGGTACTCACCATTACGTACGACGTTTTATTCCAATCCGCAACAGCCGCTATTGCAGTTGTCGAACGATTTATCAAGTCGGCATACACAATGGGGACGGTTTATACAAAATCCGGACATTAACCAAATTTAATAATTTTTTCAAACTGGTTAATTTTAGATTCTGAGTGTAGCGAGGAATGTATTGGTTTTACAATGATGTTTATTTTGTTTTTATGTGAACACTTTTACTACCAGAAAGATTACTTCGATTATCAAGTACAGCACTTTATCTGAAAAGAAGTGTTCTCTGGGTGATACTTAAAAGAGGTAATTTTTTTGAAATTCTCTATTTAATATTCGAGATAATGAGGAAAACCTGATTCTTTAGGTTAAAAAAAATTGAAAGATTTAAATAAGGTTGTCATTGGCAACCGTTTTTATTTAATTTTTGTTATTATTTTAAAAATTTCTTTTTTAAATAGCCATTGTTGTCGAAACGCACATTGTTAAAAAAGTAATACTATAAACCGAACTATATTAAAATAAAATAAATTTCGATTTCAATTCATTCTATAAACTATTCATTTATAATATCTTTTTATAATGTTTGGGAAAACCTAGGATAAAACGTAAGAAAAACGGGAAAATTTACGAAAATAATGCTTTTATTATTTTCAATTTTGTTTTTTTAATGTAAATAAAAATAATACGTGTGTCTATATTTTGAAATGCAGTTTTATTAACCATTTCAGTATACAACACGTTATTTGAATTGTAATGATAGCTCAGATAATAGCCATTATAATTATATTAATTATGATAATATAACTTAGATTCGGTGTATGTAAATTGTTAATCTTGAACCTAATACTGCTTTACTCCTTAAAATGAAATGTTCCTGAAATGAAATTTTATCTACATTGTACTTTAGGAAGTCATTTTTTGATTTTTCAAGCGGTTTGAAATGTCAGAAAAACGAACAATTTACACAATGCTTTTATAATTCAGTTAAAAATATTCGTAGTAACTATTATAATCTATAGATCCATTAAAAATATGGGATTGTATAATAGAAAAATATGTTTACTAATTATACGAAACAATATGTACCTACCTATAGGTAATTCATTGTATTCAATATAAATAAATATACGATATTAAACCATTATTATTAAAGAGAATATTATATTATTATAATACTAATATAATATTATTCATTGTGCATAGTAGGTGTTGAAAACGCAATATCGAGCTCTTTTCAGAATCGTTTTTCGTTAGCAATAATTCATTTTTGCTTACAGATATACATTAAATTCCCGTCTGTATCCTACCTTACCAACTTCCCACCTACACCAGTGGCTGCACCCGTCCTCATTATCTTACCTTTTATTTTTTAAAAAAAAAATGGTTTTTTCGTGACAAATAAATTATTTATATATTATGTAATATATAATACACAGGTGTAAATGAATTATTGTAGTTAAAACCAATAAATAATTTTAGATTCTGAGCGGAGAGAGGAATGTCTTGGTTGTACAATGATGTTTATATTTGTGCATTTGGTTATAACCAATGGTGTTATATTTCAATGATAGATGGCGCTTTTGAAATATTATAAAATTTTACTCTCGCTTGTGTTCACATTGACTTGATATCGGGTATATATACGACTAATAAATATTCTATATTTATCTCACGTTCGACGCCTTCCCATCGGGTCTACACTCGAGGCGCGGCAACCAAGCGGTTGCCGATTGTCCATACTTCGACCTGAGGAAAGTCCCCGGACCCACAAGCAGAAAGTGCAACCGGCCCAACGGCCGATCGGCGCACTCTCGCCCTTCCGTGTCTTTCTACGGAGGTGACCAGGGGTCCCCCAACTCGGGCGTCTGTGATCCGTCAGGACGGGCTTGTAGTGTTTGCCGACTGGTCCTAGATATATAGTATGTAAGGAAGGGTAGCCCGCGTCAAAACGGGATATCCCAACTTAATGGGGCTTACGTTCGAACGTGAGACAGAAAAATTTTTTTTAAATTCAAAAAATTTATATTCATTTTATAATTTTATTTTATCGAAATATATAACATTTAAGATTCTGAGTGAAACGAGGAATGTTTTAATTTCACCATGATATTTATTTTATAATAATTTGTTTTACGCAAATAACCTGTGATTCTATGGACAATTTGTATACACCGAAACCGTTTATTTTTCAGTTACGCACGACTATGAATTAGCGTTTTCGTCTGCAGATAAACAACAACCGCGGACAGCAACGTAGAGGTAAACCATATGTATATTTTTTTTTTTTATAGTAAAAAACAAAGAATTGAACGCGCCAGGAAGGACTCCTGAAGCACGTTCCGAAAAGAATACAGAATTAAACAATACAATACTTTAAAAAAAAAAAAAAACACGATTTAATAATCAACGTAATAAATGCTAATGATGTGCACCATATATACCAAAAAAAGTATAAGTACTTCTGTAATTTGTGTCGGAGGGTCGACAGTATTGTTTACTTTGGTTAGGGACGGACTACCGCTGTCTCACCAGTCAATGAAAATAATAATTTTTACAAAAAATTTTTGTGATGGCTTTGGAGGAAAAAAATGTAACTTGTGTTTTTTGTATTGAATGCTGTTTAGCGAGAAGGGTGCAAACAACCCGAGTGACCCTTTTTCGATAACAACAAATTTTAGCTTTAATATAAGTATTAACACAAATTTTCCCATTGACCCTATTGACCCTATTCATCACTCTAAAATTGTGGTTTTATATATTAAGTATTTTATACAAATAATTCATATTTTAAAGTAACGCAAGAGTTGTCTTATAATTAATTTCAATATTCAGCTAAAGGTTCCACCATAAAATAATGGAGTCCTTACCTAATGGTAGTTAACAAAAAACTAGAACTTCATTTTTATTTTTTTGTATCTAGAGAAAATTTACTAACCTACTATTATTATTCACCCTTTCTACAAATACTTATTCTTCGCTACGTGATTGGTGGTGTAAAATTGAAAAACAAATTTTATTTCCCGTGTAACCAATAACCTGGCCAACATTTGGTATTGTATAGTCATATTGATTCAGTTTAATGGTTAATAATGGACCATATTATTTGATTCTCTTTAAAAAGCCTGTATATATATTTATCAACATAACAATTGATTATGAGTAAATAATATTAATCCATTTATTGATATTGATTATTACTTGATACCAAATGCCTATTGTTGATGTTGTTTTTAATAATCTACTCCCAGCCATCGTCCAATTTCGACTGGAATGCCTAGGATTTTATGCTTATTAATTTCGTGGATATAGAACATGTGAATACTGTGATATGTTAAATTATAAGAATTTGGAATAACGTATGTGTATTATAGGACCACGGTCTTAGATTGTAAGACGTAGATTATAATATCATCATTTTTGTTAGAACAATAAAAACTTCCATGTGCTGTTTTTATTATGCCACGCTGATTATATTTCGCTCTCTTATTATTAATTTTGCGTTATTAAATGTTTAATAAAATTATTATGTTACAATATTAAATGGCCCGTCAGTTAAGTCTTAAAACCAGATCACAAAAAAAAAAAATCAAATATTGACATAAGGATAACACTGTTGGACATAGCACTATATAACTCTTAAAACATGGTTGTCAAAGTCCGAGTTGATATTTCAAAATCAATTTACTAAAGCAAGTAAAATTAACATATTTTGTTCAACAATTTGTAAAGTTACAGAAAATTATCAAAAAAGTTAGTTTGTATGTTCTTTAATTTAAAAAGAAATTCATTTTTTTTTTTTTTTTTTATAAATGGCTAATTGTTGGTATGAATTTGTATACTTAACTTCTTTTATTATTTATTGCATTTGAAAAGTCGGTGAATAATAGAAAATATACATATAAAAAGCTAAATAATGAGCAAAAAATGCTTTTTAGCTAAATGATAGAAAGCTGATTTGTCAATATAATTAAATGTTAATTTTGGTCTTTGGCCGATAATCAACATTTTTGTTTAAGTTAGAAGGATTAGCTAGAGGAAATACGGAATTTAAGGGTGAAATGTTATACCAAAAACAATGAAGTGGATACAATATAAATATATCGAAAATAAGATTTATTAATTAATACATACCAAACAATGGTGTTCAATGCAGAACAATTTTTTTAATGAACTAAAGATAATATCCTTTTAAACTTCAATATTTTTTAAAGTATAAATGCTATATAACAGTGAATACAAACAATTTATAAAATAATAAATCATATAAATAAAGAGATCGTATATTTTAACATGAAAAATGTAAAATTTGTTTTGTTTTTTTTTTTTTATTAAAATTGTAAAATTTATTTTGTAATTATTTTAAAGAAAATATTAATTTCTAATTAACTAAACGAAATTATTTAGATGTTTTTATAAGTAAATACACAAAAAAAAAAAAAAAAATACAAAACATAATATAATATAGAAAATATATCAAACAAAATTAAATTTAAGAACTCTTAATGTTAATTGTACAAAAGGTGTTTTTATATTCATATTAATCTTTAGATACTTTTTCACGTTTTTGTTTTAATATTAGTTCATATTTGCTCTTGCTAATCCACCACATAACGAACGGAGCCACTACAGCTGGTAGAGACATGATAGCGAATGCGAACCAATCAAGCTAAAAAATGTACAAATAAATATAAATTAAAATATCATATCAGGTACTAATCAAATATATATATATATGTTATTATTATTTAATTATTGACATACACTCAAAGAAAACAACAATGACTATATTTTAAGACTTCAAGAATTTTCGTTAAAACTAAATTGGAGACATACTTCAGCATATTAAATAATTAAACAGCAGAGTATATTTATTAAAATATTAACTTTATTTAGTTAATTACTATCTCAGTTTAAAAAAAATACCTGTCGAAATCAACAAAATCATCTCAGAAAAATACATGTACTTACATATTAAATAATTGTTATTTTTTGATTTTTTCTTTTTTAATTTCTCTAAGTTAATAAATTGTCATTAACAAGTTTTAATTTGATCTCAAAATAAAAATTAATTTGCATACTATTAACTTTAAATAGCATAAAATAAACCACTCCCAAAAAAATTGAATATCCATAAAATACAATCATGTAAGTTTAACACACACTCATACCCCGGTGCTGATCAAAATTATGTATTTTCGTTTTTTATTCGTAATTCCCGTTCAAGTTTTATCATCAGTCTAAAAATAGAGAATTTTAAATACAAATTTCACACACATATACTGAATTATACATTAAATAATGCTGACGAAAGAAATAATGATTATAGGTCTATTCACATATACAGACACAACGATATTAAAGTACGCATTATCTATGAACATATTCGCATCTATTGTCGCATAATTTGTCAATGTGGCGTGTACGCGCCTTTACGTACCGTCACAAGGAGAAAATTTTGTCTGTGCATGTTTGCACAGTTATTATGTATACAATAATGACAAATTTACATATAAATAAGACCACCAGTGTGCAGTGTGTATAGTTTTCGTTAACAACTAAATTATTAAATTATATTATTCAAAATGGACTATAAAAAACTTATTTCAGAATGAATTTAAATTCATACACTCATTCTGAAATATTTGAAAAATCTTTCTTCATCATCTATAAGTTCTTTACATAAAATGAAGAATTCGCCCTGTGTTTTTCATTCCTTCCTTAATCTCCATTTCCTGATCAAGTGGAATCGCGATTAACACCAAATCTTCCACAGAAAAATTATGAAACATTGCGTACAGTAATCCACTACATCACTAAATTATAGTTGTCTGTTGCTTACCACTATAATGTCTGCGGATTGCTGGTATAATATGAAAACAATTGTCTGTGCCGTGTTTGCTACACGCGGTGTCTATATATGTGAATCAACCTCAAAACATAACACTGGCCCAATTAAAATAAATTGAAAATAATTGTATAAATGAAGTTTAATGCATCATGCGCATGTGAGGAATAAACAAAATAATGCCTACAAGTGTCATCCGCAGCAAACGTGTTAAGAAAACCATCTTGGAAGTCTTCGCCTGTTTCTATCTGCCAAGCATCCCAACCATTTAATTTGTCTAACATTCCTTATAATCCTCAAAGAAGACTCAAGAGACACTGATATCAGGATTTAGCTTATTAAATACAAAACTTGGTATGAATTTAAACTAATGACCATTGAGTATTGACTATTCGCTTCATGTGTTATCACGTCTCTTTTAAGAGCTTATATTTAATGTACTTATCGCAAATATTTATTTTTACAGATTGTACATATAATATAATGTTTAAAAAAAATTACATAATACAAATTTATTTTATTTTTTAAATCTTAATGTATAATTACCAAATGAGGGGAGAATTTTTTGTCATATTCAGCATAACTGATAATGTATCCTTCGCCAGGTTCGCTGCTTATGGCCAATTGTGGCTCTACAGAATTTTCAGACGATTTGTATTGTACCACTGCAGCTGAAAAGTTAAATCTGCCATAGGTCAAAGGTTTGATAACAACGGCATGAGTAACATTTGCTCCAACTGGTATTCTAGTGAATTGTATATTCAAATTCCCTTTAACCGTGGCAAAAGCTTCATCGGGAAATCCAGAGTCCTGTAGTATAACGTTTATCGCTGGCACGCTTCCCACATTGTAAATAGTATACTAATAACAAATTAATACACACAATATACATACAATGTATAACGAATAATTATTTAAATAAAAATCAATTCAAATTTCATATTATACACACTTTTACTAAAATGTCTGAATCTTGAACCAGCAACTTGTTAAGGACCTGTTTGGATACCAAAAGCCGAGCTTGAGGTTCATCGGAACTTTGACTAGATATGCATAGAGATGTGCAAATTAATGCAATAAGTACAATTGACTTAAATGAGTACATTCTGCAAATAAAAATTTTAAAATTTAATCTATGAAAACATGAGTATTAGATATTTCATTGATAACAATAAATTAAAAATTATAATATACATAAACAAACAAAAAAAAACGTTCATCGTTTAGATTTTTAACCTTGTTTAATAAACACAATTGTACAAACCAATTAGACATTTCATATATATGAATCGAATCAATTTTTACTATTTTCCAAACCATTATACCCTTATAATCCCTTATTATCCTTTATAATGTACTTTGTATTAATGTTAAAATTATATGATATAAAAATTAAATCATTGTATAAGGATAAGGCCATTTTGTTGAATTAAAAAAAAATATATAATCATTTTTACTGTTGAAATGAGATTTGTATTTCAACATAATGTTATAATTACAGAGTAATTTACATAAACAATTTAACATGAAGCATTTTACACCATGAAAGAGATTATATTTTTGATTATCACTTATTAACTATTAAAGAAAAATTGTGATTAATTAATGTATACTTGTTATTTATAAAAATTAAATAATTAAACAAAGCAAAAAGAAATAATATAAGCATAGGGTTAGAGGAAGACAAGTTCAAAAGTACATAAGTATTTGATCACAATAAGTATGGGTGGGCATTTAATATTAGTTTTAGATATAATAAGTAAAGTTAACTTAATTGTGTAATATGAAAAGTCAAGTTAAAAAAAAAAAATACAAAAAAAATTATAACATAATACTCAAGGGAGTTTTGAAAATATTTACTAATATAAATACACAATAGGTACACATACAGTCAATTTGAAATAAAGAAAATAATACTGTGAAAATTAAACATTAATCTACTTTATATAAATTTGTTACAAGTTTTTCAGAAATCATATAAAAATCAAAATTAAACACCAAAAGCAATTCGGTAAATAAAACATATTTCCGGAAGAAAAAAAAAAATCACACTTGATTATTAGATTCACATTTTCCAGTAAAATTTAGAATTTCTTCGCATATTTTTTTGTACATCCAAGAATCACCTTTAAGACGCTTTCGTTTAATAGCAACAACTGACAAATTTTCTTTGTTTATTGATGGCACTAAACATATTTCTAGTTCAAAAGACAATTTTAATTTTTCCTTATCATTGGCATCGCTCTTTAATTTTCCCCTGAGAATAAAACCTTTTCTAGAGCAAATAACATGTTTCATGGCCAATGCATTTTCTAACTGATTCATTACTTTCTCTGGATCATTACAAACTGTGGTCGATATGTTACACAGATCTTTTTTTATGTCCAAGATTTCAGGTTTTTTTAATGTCGGCGTTCCCAAACGGCGTCTTGGTGTCAAAGCCTTTCTAACACGATCTAAACTAGACAATATTTTACCAGCAGGACTATTTTGAACTGCTGAACTGTGTTGTTGAGCAGTTTCAACATTGGCACTTCTTTTGATTTTAGCTGGTATAACAGGTGTCGCATCTTCTAATTTTCTTCTAACAGCACGTATTCTTCTATTTTCTTGGCCAGGAGTATGCAGATCGACTGGCCTTCTTATAATAACTTGTTCTGGTTGCAGTTTGGGTAAATCTTTTTTCTTCAAAACTAACGGACTACCAGATTTTTTTAAATTAATCAACAACAAATAAGTAGCGGTCTCACTGTCGTACTTCCATTTGGAAAGACGAGACCATAGAATTTCTTTATCAACATTATAATATTGACTCATTACTTCAAGACATTCAATGTCTTTATATTGTCCCATATTGTGAAACTTTGTGGCTGGAGGATAACCATACCCAAGTTTAATCCATGGATCGTCAATCAGCTCACTGATTCGTACACGCTTTAAAGGATCCACACAAAGCATACGTCGCAACAAACGTTTACTGCCTGACGACAGCCAGCCAGGTTCAATGTATTTTCCACGTAAAATCTTTTTAAAAAGCTCATCGATGTTGTCGCTTTCGAATGGCAAACAACCGCACAACAGGGCATACAGAATAACACCCATGCTCCAGATATCTACTTCAGACCCGTGGTATTTGACCCCTTGAATAAGTTCGGGGGCGGCATAAGTAGGCGAACCGCACGAAGTCAACAACAGACTGTCCATACCACCCTGCGGCTTGGCACATAAACCGAAATCGATTATCTTCAGGTTTTGTTCCTTGTCCAACAGTATGTTTTCCGGCTTGAGATCGCGGTGCGCATAGCCGCTGTCGTGCAGGTATGACACGGCCGATATGATCTGCCTAAAGAACATTCTCGACTCCATTTCGCTGAGACGGCTCTTTTCGACGATGTGATCGAACAGCTCACCGCCCGAGCAGTACTCCATGACCACGTAACAGTGACTCTCGGTCTCAATCACCTGATAAAGCTTACAGACGTTTGGATGGGACAGTGTCTTGAGTGCGCTGATCTCTAGCTTGACGCGCGGCAGGTCCTTGCCCAGCTTGGTCTTGTCCATGATTTTGACAGCCACCTTTTCGCCGGTGGGCCCGTGCGTGGCCAGTTTGACTTTGCCAAATCCGCCGGTTCCTATAGTCCGGTGCAGCTCATAGCCACAACTGCGGAGCGTCGGGTAACGCGACATCGGGCCACAAACACGGAAAACAACAAACGGCTGTCGCAAATTGGACGCTATAGGAGACAAACAACAACCGAACGATCACGTCGAACGTCGAGCGACAGCCATCCGGCGGCGACGACAGTTAGGCAATTACACAGCGGTCAGGCAAGCAGGCGAAAGAGAGAAATAACACATACACAATAGAAAAAAAAAAAAAAAAAAACCCTAGACTTCACGATTGCACCCAAGAGTCTACGGGGTGAATAGATGTTAAAAAAATTCCCCGAATTAATGGCGGGCCGATAACATTATTATAATATTATATATGTGACGACTTACCTATAATAAAATAATACCTATTTTTATAATAAACAATTATTGTTATTCGTGTCGGAAGAAACGGACGGGATGGCCGGAAAACACGAATCGGACACAACGGCAGAGAAAAACGGACGAAAATATGGACTCCGCGTGCAGATATCGGAGGACGTCGGATTTATAATGCTTTCGTTGCCTAACCGCTGTGGTTGTTAACCGTTCACCGTTCACGTCACCGGGTGCGACGAACACGTAAACAAAAACGTCCGTTACAGCGGCACTACGACGGCAATACGCGACGTGAATGCGTATTTTACCATGATAAAAGATAAGGACTTGTGATTACGCACTGCCAACCAAAACCGATGTTACTGACTTTCAGCTAGTCGAACATCAGACCGCTCACAGATGGCGCCAATCTATTATAATGTTCAACGGTGATACACGTGCAGCTACGTCATATATGCCCCTATAAACTGAATCAATGGAACAAAAGGCGGGAAAATAGAAATATTTAATGTTCAACTACTGACTGTCGCACTGATTATCTATAGTAAACGGATTACAGAATTATTTATCATAATATTTTAAATCTTTTAAAAATACAACGAAAAATAGGTACTAAACAAATTTTTTTAAATTTTACATTTTTAAACATGAAAAATTATCTACTTATGAACTATTTGTAAAATTGACTAAAAAGCTCTAAAGTAATGCTCTTAATAACAATAAAGAACATTTCCAAAATTAACGCAAACAGTATAAAACAAAAAAAAAGTAAATACATACTGGGAATGAAAATCGGGTCGAGGAGATAGTATACATAAAATGATTTAATATATACCTGTAATTTGTAAGCTACAATAAGTATACTAATGAAAACGATTCGGAGGGAAATTCGGTTATAGATGTTTTGAAAGGCCGATGATTTTCATCAAAATTTGATTTTAAAAAAATATTAAATTGGTAATTTCAAAATTATGGGTTATTCCGTGTCACGCAGTCAATGTTTTTATTATGAAATATGGCAATCAATATAAAATAATACGAAAGTTATTGTTTGATAATAAGACATTAAAAGGTCAGCTGACACAACATTTCAAACACCTCTCTTTACATAGAAAAAAAGGAAATTTGCTAAACTTTTGGTTCGTTTTGGTTGGAAATAACAATTTCACAAAAATATTTTATCATCAGAAATCACATTTTTAGATTCTGAGAGGTGTGAAGAAGCTTATAGTTTTACAAAGATGTTTTTTTTTTTTTTGTGGAACTTTTTCACTAGAAGACTTACTAGGATTTCTACGCGTAACACTTTTTCTGAAAGGAAATCGGCGTGTGGGGAAGAGAGTCCTTTAGGGAGGTCATTTTTCGATTGTCTCAAGTGTTTTCTTATAAAATTTGAAAAACCGAAATAAAAAACAGGAAAATATAAGAAATTTAGTTATTAGTTAAAATATATTATGGCCATCTTTTTTTCTGTGCACAACTTTTATGCCAGCAATTTTGCTCCAACTTCAAATAATAGCAATGTTTCTAAAATAAAATTTCACTAGGGAGGTAATTTAAAAAGGCCATTTTTTTGATTTTCCCAAGCGTTTTCTCAGAAAATGTAAAAAAAACCAAGATAAAACATGGGGAAACCGAGAAAATCGTAAAAAACTGGGAAAATTAGTATAACAATAAACAAATTGTTAAAAAAAAAAACTTATTTATTTATTTATTATTTTACTACAAAATGACATATATATTGTTGACAATTTCACAAAGTATCACTATCAACTGAACTCCGCTCGGAATCGTTTTATTTTTTGTGAAACTAGTTTATCGTTGCTTACAGATATACATTAAATTCCCGTCTATATCCTACCTTCCCAACTACACCCACCTCCATTATCTTACCTTTCCTCTTAAAGGTACTATCAAAGTACATCAAGTTGTATCTATGAAAGAATACCCAAATAATTTAGTTATGAGAAAATTAAATTGTTTTGATTGTGACAAGTTTTTTTTTAGTACATCATATTGTTTCAACAACTAACGAGGAAATAAAATGCTCAGAAAATGTCCTAGTTGAAGTTGAATTTGTACATGTACAACCATCAGGACTACAATCAAAAAATACTTTCTATTCCCCAGAAAACTACATTCTGGTGAAGTTTGTTCCAGGTTTTAGTTACGTTTATTGTGTTAAAAACAGAACGACAATTAGACTATACGAGGTCTAACCAATAAGTAATGAGGCTAATTCAATAAAATACGTATATTCAAATATTAAGATACATCGATGTGATCCCCTTCAAAGTACTCCCCTCCCACCCCTATACACTGGTTCCAACGTTTTTTCCAGCTCTCATAACATTTCTGGAAGGCTTCGACTGGAATGTCCTGAAGTACCCTCGCGTCACGGCGTTCTGGATGTCAGTTATGGACTCAAAATGCGTTCCTTTCACGGCCAATTTTGTTTGAGGGGACAAAAAGAAGTCGCAGGGTGACATATCCGGCGAATAGGGCGCTTGTGGCAACACTGCGATGTTCTTAGAGGTCAAAAATCGCGACACACTGAAGGCACGATGGCGTGGAGCATTATCATGATGAAGATACCATCTTTGCACACAGCTTTTTCATGGACAAATCATCAGTTAAAATTTTCTGACGGTTTCTCGTTTCAAATTAAGTTCAGCCAACATTCGAACGGTTTAACGCCGATCTCGATGCACGAGAGTGCGCACACGCTGAACATTGTTGTCAGTTCGAGCTTCAACGGGTCTCCCACTTCGCGGTTCATCCCCGACCATTTTTAAAATTTTTATGCCATCGAAACACCTGAGCACGACTCAGGGCTTCATCACCGAACACTAGTAATTGTAAACGAACTGAAAAAACTTGACAACTTCTGTAAAGAATTTGTTATATCAGAAAATTATCAAACTTTTTTTTTACTAAAAGGGAGAAAAAAAGGTATATTTGTTTCCTTTAAAAATAAATGTTAAATAGTTCTAATAGTAATTTAGAATTGTACTATTTAAGTAGGGTAATTAATAATTATAGACTAATCTTCAGTAAAACTAGATCTCATTACAAATTTAAATTGTATAATCAAATATTTTTGTATTAATATTCTATTATTCATTAGTATACGTAGGTATTCATGTTTTGTAAAAATTCTAGGTCAATATTAAAATAAAATGTTAAAGTGAGTTGGTAATTTTTTTTAACAAGTTAATAAGCTCTCACATATTTCTGATATATTTTCTAGTATTTCCAAGTTTTTGTTGATGTTAATTTGTTTGGAAAAATATTTATATGTACATTATACATGTTAATAGGCAAATTTTGTTATATTATTTCTCTCTCCATAAATTTTGAAAATTTTAAAACTTGAATATATATCCAAGAATACTAATGATTATGTGTGCAGACTTCATGAAGTTAGAGAAATGTCAACACAGAAAGGTAATTGAAAAAAAAAAAAATGAAAATTGAGTTTACATTAATGAAAAAGTTATGCTAAAATTACAGTGTTTAATTTTTATTTTTAACTACTAATTATGACTTATAATGAATCTCTTGTCATATTTTCAAGCATTTCTGTTTGATGTAACAATTGTATCCATAGAGTAGTTAAGTACCTAACAAAAGTAGGTAACGTAAATAACTTGCAAAATTTAAATGTTTATAAATAGCTTGAAAACCACAACTATAAAAAGAAAATATAAACTTTCTATCAAAATTGCATATATTTTCCATTTAACCTATAATTTTCACAATTGTTATTAAAACCCCCTAGAAAATCAAAAAGTGACTTCAGTGCACTAACTAGAACAAATACCCTATCAGGAATGGTGCTATAGTTTATACATCGGAGCAAGATTTCTTTTCGTAAGTTATTTATAGGCAGAAAAAAAACATATATTAAAACCAAGAGATTCCTCGCTATGCTGCAAATCTCAAATCAAAATAAAATGTATATTCACATTGTATGAATTAGATTTATAGCTAATATAGCTCAGTTTTGAACAGAACGAAAACAAAAAGTGAATGTAATAAAAATCCGTACTATAGTTTTCCCTATTACATGCTTAAAACTATAATATGTTTTTAAATTGAGATTTAACAATTTTGGAAATGTATATTTACAACAAATTATTTTTATTTTTTTGATCATTAGGTGACAAGTTTTTTTAATTTGTTTCTATTATCATTTATAACTCCATCTAATACCATTTAATTCATATAGTTAATCCCCATGACTGTCCATATTCCAACTAAACAAGCTATTTTATTAATTATTTGTATTCTTTTATAGAGTTGATAATACCATGCCTAATGAAACATTTTTGTTTCAATATTTTCGCTACTTATAAATTTGTTTGATAATAAGATTATTTTTCCATGGATAATCAGTCTAAGATTAGGTCTAAGAGTTTATTGACGAATCAGTGATTTAAACTAATATGTAACTAAAAAAAAGGATATTTAATCAGAAGCAACACATCCATACAAACCGTTTATGTTAAGTTTAATTGACGTTTTTTTTAGTGGTCTATCATAATAAAATTGTTAATATCATAAAAATATTTTACAATTGAAATACTTACATGTTGTTTAATAATAGTTCTAAGAAATCATCAATAATTTGTAAACTAACAGAGTCTAATTCAGTTTATAACATAGCTAACTATAAATTATTGTTGGGGAATTTTATATTTTGATGTTTCAGAATGATTTATTAATTCAGATAATAAATTTATGCTAAATTCAAAAAACCATTTCCATTAATATTCTTTTAATTAAGATGAATATCAAAATAGATATACAGAATAGGTACCGACATATATATACACTCCAAGTAAAAAGTTTGCCAAATAACTAACAACTTATACAAAATTATACCAATTTCTGGTTAAAAAGTTCTAATAAAGATTATACTAGTGATATTAATATGAAACACAGAAAATATCTTCCAAATATCTACATATAAATACCCAAGTTTAAAATGAACCTGCAAAATATTTCATTACTAATGCATATTTTAAATTAGGATATTCGTTGCACATTTATCTATATGTAGATACTACATGTGAAAAACATGTGATTTTTGCTAAATTGCCGGTAAACCACATTACCTGTCTATTTGAACTTGGCACACAGCTTCATTTACACTTTGACCAGTACTCCCAATTCGTGCACACTGGGGTTTCAAATTTAACTTAAATATGTAATTACATTAGTGGATTATATTTAAAAAAAAAAAAAATTGTCTGCCTAAGGGAAGTTATCAATATATATCAAATAAATCATAATTCACTAATTATATTTCACTCTAAAAAATGTATCAGTCTTATTTTTTGTTTATATTAGATTACATTTTGGGATAAAAGATACTATATATTATGCTCGGGAAAATACTCTATTTTACAGTGAAAGTCCAATAGAAATTGGTTCAGCCATTTCAAAGATAAGCTCGGACAAAAAATACTTTTGTTCCATTATAAACTAATTCTGGCTCATTGTGCATTGGTATGATTCCCACTGTGAAGTTACCAACTTACACATCTTACATTCTGTTGACTTTTTCCCAGTACAAGTTAATTTATGTTGGTTTAAATTGTCCTTTATTGAAAATGACATTACATTCATAATACTTTTTTTTCGTGAGTTTTTAAATGATTATTTAAGTTAGACAACTGAGAAAATGTCTTTTTACATGAATTACATTCATACGGCTTTTCTCCCGTATGAGTTCTTTTATGGACGTTTAAATTGCTTTTTACACTAAATGTTTTTTTACAAATATCACATTTATAAGGCTTGTCTTCAGTATGAATTCTAATATGGCAGTTTAAAGCGCATTTGTGAGAAAATGTCATTTCACAAACATTACATTTATAAGGTTTTTCTCCAGTATGAACCTTTTCATGACTTTTCAAATAGTGTAAGACAGTAAATGTCTTTTTACATGTTTCACATTTAAAAGGCTTTTCTCCAGTATGAACTCTTAAATGGGCTTTTAAATGATAATTATGAGTAAATGTCTTTTCACAATTGTCACATTTAAACGGCTTTTCTCCAGTATGAATTTTTAAATGAGTTTTTAAATGGGATGACAGAGTAAATGCCATCTTACAGAAATCACATTTATAAGGCTTTTCTTCTGTGTGAATTCTTCTTAAATGAGATTTTAAATGTATTGTTTTGGTAAATTTCTTCTTACAGATGTGACATTCGTGAAGTTTTACATCACTATGAACTATTGTTGTGTGTTTTTGTAAAACAGACAAGGAATTATATGATTTACCACATACTTTACATGGGTATAATTTTTTCTTACTGTGAGTTTTTAGATGCTGTACTAAACTTGATTTTGAAAAAAACAAGTTACCACAATTAGAGCATTTAAAATATTTTTCTTTAAATTGTGACTCTTGATACAAAATAGTTTCCATTGGATCGTTTTCAATAACAATTTGACTCTCATAAACATAACCATCAATGATGTCTACTTCTTTTTTAATGTGGACATTTATTTCTTCACCTACTTGTTTAGAGTTGTATGTTAATCTGAAAAATATAATGATCATTATAATCACTAATACATTAAAAACAAATAAGAAGTTTGTACAAAACAATAAAATATATTCTAAATATAGCTTGAGTACCAGTATCAGTATCAGTAATATTATAACCATATTAATTGGGATTGTTAGATATTTTAACCCCTACAGCTGATGCAATTAAAATAATATTGTGTATTATAATGTATTACATAAATCAGGTAGTTGCTATAAAATACAACAAACAGACTGAGCAAATATGTATGTTACTGTTGTAAATGGGAATTCAATAAATTCAAAATAGAATATAGGATACAGCAATAAATCTTAAGAAAATTGACAAAATGGAATACATTAATTATTTTGAAAACCCCTTGGAATTTTAAAAAAATGACCTCTTTAATGCAGTAGATTTTGTTCAAAAAGTTGTTTTCCGGCAAAAAAAAAAAAAACAGTAAAACCAATAAATCTCACACTTCACTCTGAATTTAAAGTGATACTTAAACATTAAATTAAAATATTAAATTGCATAATACTCACTCTATTTGCTCTGATTTATCTTTATAATAAGGTTTGTAAGTTGTTGTGCCATCATTAATTTCTTCTTTAATTGATCTAAAAGTAGAAGAAATAAATCAATACGTCTAGTAGGAAATGTTTAAATTTATTTAGTGAATAGATGATTTATAAAATAAATTACTAAGACATTTTGAAAATATTGTTTCTTTTATAGGCTCTCTATTATAGTATATATGAAGAATGAATGGTATAATTATTAATTATAACCAAATAACAAGATGAATGATTACAACAAAATCAAAAGACAAAAAAATTATGTAATCGTAAAAGTTTATAAAAAACAAAAAGAAAATGTTTTCAAATAAAGTACTATCAAACAAAAAAACCATATATTTTAAGGTATACCGTGAACCAATCCGTACTAGATATTCTGATTTTTTATCAACCAATAGTGTTTTTATTCACTACACTGAGAATAAAAAAAATATACACGTATATAAATAAATATGAATAAATATATTCGTATATCAGAATAAAACTACCAAACTTAACTTTAAATTTTTAGATCCCTATGGAAGAAGAAACAAAAGTAAACAGTTTATTATGCAGGAAAAGATTAAAAAAGTTAAACTTAAAAAATACATGAGCAATAAGACATTAAATTACATAATACTCACTTTATTTGCATCGATTTATCTTCATAATAAAGATTGTAAGATGTCTCACCATCCATTATTTCTTCTTTAATTGATCTAAAAGTATAATAAATGAATAAATGAATCTATTAGTAAATTTTTGAAATTATTTATAAATTAGAAATGGAATATCTCGGGAACAAATTGACGAAAATTAAAAATTCAAAACCAAAATATATTTTAACTATTACTTCATCCATTTAAGTATTTTTTTTTATAAATGTTCTAATTTAAAAAATCAAAATTGGTATCGTCAATTGATACTTTTTCTGTTGATGTTCTGAAAAATCTAATTACTTATATAAAAGTATCAAATTTAATTGCATTTAATAATGCCTAAAAATCAAAATTTGCAACCATGCATAATTTCCCTTAAAAATGAAGTGAGCATGCTTAATGATAGTATAGTGAATATTATGTATTATTATAGTTGAGCAGATAGTGGTAATAGAATATTAAAAAAAATATATATACTGTTGTTGGTATACATTTTTTTTTATAAAAACATACTTGGAATATAATTTTATTAATTGTTAATCCGTTGAAAATTTATTTATAAAAAAAATAATTTTTGTTTTACTAATATTTTTTTAGAAATTTGTTATTATTAATAATACTCGTATAAATATAATATAAATATTTGACTATAAATTACATAATATACTGAAATGATCAACAAATGAAACTATCACATTAGCAATTATTTTGTTTTTATCGCTGAATTGGAGTTGCCAAAGCGTAAGCATTGAAAACATCAGTGCCGAAGTTTATTCGAGATCATACAAACGATAACTCAAAGATTAATCAACTATTTAAACTAAGATCAAATTATTGGTTCACACATAACATATAAATGGTTATCATACAAAATATAAAATTAATCGGCAGGTTTATTGTCTCAGTATGTACTGCTAGGGACTCTGTCCTTCACGTGTTTAAATTTGTTAAATATAAATTAATAATTATACTTAACTAAATGTGAAATAGGTATTCACATTAAGTGTATGCACGTAAAGGCTATTAATACGGATGTGGTAAACTGACGATGTTCTCATGCAATAACAAATCATATGTGTTGATGGGCCAACGGAGTCCATCACCATCTAGGCCCTGACCAAGGCGACAATGTTATATAAGACAACCGGGAGGACCACAAATTAGCTTTAGTCAGCCTAGGACAACGGAGGGTATACTTGCACCATCGCCAACGCACGAGGAGGAGCACCATCATCTCGACAATCATTTCTATAGTATACTTATAATTGATAAATACAAGTCTTACAATACAACATATAAGTCTTGACCTGGGTCTGATGTCACAATGGCATTCACTTATAATTATAAATTGTCATCAGAGTTATTTAAAATATTAATAAAAACCATTTGTAGACTTATACACACTTGCTCATCTTCCCGTCAAAAGGCTGCGTCCAAACGGCCCGTAATAGTACAAACATTTAGCAAACACAATCCAACAAATAAAAGAATCAAAGTATTTTTCAATCATTATGGATGAAACAACAATAGTAGATAATTCATGTCAAAAACAGTATAACATAAATTATTATGGTATTACAAAATTAAATATTACATGCTAACCTATGGTACAATAAACAAATAAAATGTAAAAGTTTTTAAAGAAGTTTTCTGAATACGCTAGTATTTACATTAAGGTTTATATAAATATACTTTGAAAATTACATAAGGACTCTCATGGAAACTGGTTGGTAATTCTTATTTTATGGTTTACAGACAGAGTGGCTGAGTGGTCATATTTTTTTTTAGATGAGTGAGTAGACATTGAAATTAGTGACTTTTTACATAATATTATTATTGTTATTGTTATAATGTTAACACATTTACTCACTTTGAATTAAGTGGAGAATTTTCAAAACTTTTATTAACTTCCATGATAAATGTGTCCAATTTAATTAGTGTTGTTAATTACTGTAAACATAAACAATGAATAGAGATTAAAATAGGTAAATATTTAAAAAATTATAAAATAAAACCTTTCCTCAAGTATAACAGGTAATAAAATTGCATTAGTAATGAAGATTAAGAATAATCACTAGCAAAAACAAATGATAATCACATAAAAGAGAAATGGTTTTTCAATACATACCTATAACACCTTCAATATTACCTTCCGAATGATAAAATTCTTTGACAAATATTTTTAAAATATGTAAATCGTAACATTAATCAGTAGGTATATATACAATATAAAACATTAATAATAGTTAATAATGAATAAATACAATACATTAACATTTAAACATTTTACATCAGCTAAACATCATGCTTAACCTACAGGCTGTAATCGATATGGCGATAGCATCTGGAATGCTTCGAGACGTTAGAGCTCATAACAACAGTTCTCTTAAAACTGATAACAAAAAAAATTTTCGGAACAGTTTGACCAACACTTAAACATAAAATCCCTAGAACATAACCATAATTTTATTGTACCATTTGTATGTATTTGAATAGTCATAGATTGTATAATACATTTTAATGAATGTAGGTAAACTTAGAAAATTACGAGAAAAAATGTTTTAAATAAACCGAATAAACGACTTTTATGCTTTTGAAATCAAAATTATTAGATACAGTTCTCAGAATCGGGCTGTATAGGTGGCCAGATAAGTATCTACAATAATAACGATATTAACTTAATATTTTTATGGACAGAAACTCTAAAATTCTAATTTTAACACTAATTACAGATTTAAGGATTACGGAATATTTTAATTTTAATATTATGGTAAAAATAACTTCAAATTCAGAGTAATTATTTAATTCATGTCGATGATAAAGCAAATAAATAAATTTTAATTTTAATGATGTTTATATTCAGTATTCAAAAGTATTTATATAAATAAATGAAAAAAAAAAAATTATTATCCATTGAATTATTTAGTTATTAATAAAATGTAATATTAGACACGAAGTATTACATTATTTGTTTATTAATATGACATAATAATAATAATCTATTTGGTCTCTGGACGATTGTTAGAAGTGTTTTGTTCAACTAATTAACTAACGATAACGTGTTCGTGATAAAGGTAAATGATAATTTAAAAAAAAATACCATAATTTTTACAGTAGAATTAACAAAGTATACAATAATATTAATACATTTATTAGGTTAAAACAAAAAAAAAAACGCAATTGGGGGGTGGTTAAACACCCAAAACCCCTCCACTGTACAGTGAAAATTATCTTAACGGACAAATTAATAAAGATTGAGTATTTCTACAACGGAACGAATAACATCCTAATATCTTTTTTAAATGTCTTGATAACGGATAGTTATCTACAGTTAACTATTTTAGTTCAAAATCAAACATGTTGTAAATGTATATACAGATACACGTAACAGTGTCGCTGGTTATTTCGAATAAGTACCGATTATGACGGTTTATTGATCGAGTTTTAATTTCTGTAATGCCATTTCTGATATTTATATATTATCGGCTTTTTTGTACAACTAGTGTACACGCTATTGTTGACATAAGAACTCAAAATAATATATGTACCAATTGTATAGTTAAGAGATTATGTGTAAATACGTAGTAGAGATATCTCTAAAATATCATGAAATTTGGTGGCCCTGAAAAGGGCCGTTTTAGAAAATTTAATGGTACTCTATTGACGATAAAAAGATATTATATATGCTATTAAGCACGTTCACCACGAATACGGCGAGCCAACTGAATATCTTTCGGCATAATAGTGACGCGTTTGGCATGGATAGCGCACAAATTGGTGTCTTCGAAAAGACCCACCAAATACGCTTCACTAGCCTCTTGTAACGCCATCACGGCAGAACTCTGGAAACGCAGATCGGTTTTGAAGTCCTGGGCTATTTCACGGACCAAACGTTGGAACGGCAATTTGCGGATCAATAATTCGGTACTCTTTTGATACCGACGGATTTCACGAAGCGCAACTGTTCCCGGACGGTACCGATGCGGTTTCTTAACGCCGCCGGTAGCTGGTGCGCTCTTCCGGGCCGCTTTCGTGGCCAACTGCTTCCTCGGGGCCTTTCCGCCGGTGGATTTACGGGCTGTTTGCTTGGTACGTGCCATGTTGCTGCGGTATTTTCGGTTGTCGAACGATCAAACGATGAATGATAAGTGTAACCGACGTTGGCAAACGACCAGTATATATACAAAAACGAGAACCGTTGGTAGCGCTCTCATTGGTCGAGAGAGTGTCTAGCAAAACGGGAGGGGAGAAATTCGGTTTACGTTCGGATTGGTCTAAGCGTCGACTAAAATGCTTAAAAGACAAGGACTTTCCATAATATTTTTCATTCGCTAATCANTTTAACCAGTACAATGACAGGACGCGGTAAAGGAGGTAAAGGTCTTGGTAAGGGAGGAGCGAAACGGCATCGTAAGGTACTTCGTGACAACATCCAGGGAATCACCAAACCGGCCATTCGTCGTTTAGCCCGTCGAGGTGGTGTTAAACGTATTTCCGGTCTTATTTACGAAGAAACCCGAGGCGTGCTGAAAGTGTTTTTGGAAAACGTTATCCGTGATGCCGTCACCTATACCGAACACGCCAAAAGGAAAACCGTTACAGCCATGGACGTAGTCTACGCACTGAAGCGACAAGGACGCACTCTATACGGTTTTGGAGGTTAATCAAACAACAGTTGTCTTGTACTAGGTATCACGATTTTTAAAATGGCCCTTTTCAGGGCCCCCAAATTGTTTTTAATTAATAAATATATAAATCGGAAATTTTAACTCTTGAACTACTAATATATTAAATTAATTTTGGCTAATGTTTTTCAGAAATCAATAACAGCAGTTATAATTTAAATTAATATTCAAACGAAATATTTATATACAAACATTATTTGCATGCAGGTACATTTTCATATAGATTTTAAACACATTCAATTGATTTGATTAATTAAATAAACAAAAAAAAGTTATGTGTTCATGACATTGACTTACGTAGTACAAATATGACTATGCCACGAGCCGTGGTTTTTACTCCGTATACTTTTATTAATCTATAATAAATTATTTAAAGAATACTTTAAACAAGAATAAATATTCTAATCAGACATTAGATACTAATCAAATGTAGATCCCTAAATTTTTAGGTGCGAAAGCATAATTATTTAGTTTTTGGTTTCACCTTGCTAATAAAATCCATGTTTTTAAATTTAATAAATTAAAAACACCATCAATAGTTTTAAATTCGATAATCAAAAACCATCAAAATAATGGTCACAAAAATAATTTCATCTTTCTCGTCGAGAATCTCGAACACAACTATAGTAGATAAGTTACATAGAAACTAGAAAAACCAACGAAATAGGTCTAAAAATAGCAGTTTTATCTGTTTTTATTCAAAGAACAACATTTCCATTTCTCAATAGTTTTCAAAATAAATATTGTATAATTAATAATAATTTATTATTCGCTATTGAAAGGAACTATAGGTGGCGCTCTAGTGGATACTCACGATAAGGCCAACGGGGAGATGGGAACCTATGATAAAATTAGAAAAATAATAATTTAGTCAAAATAATCCATTTATTACTAGTTTTTTTTTTTGTAAATTGTCTTATTAATAAAAATATTTGTTTGAAATTTGTAGTAATGAAAATACATAAGGTTTAATTCCGTAATAGAAATCGCCGACATAATTCAATATATTGGTGATTTTAAAAAAGACCTTTGTTGAAAGTTCAGAAATAATTAAAAGGAACCACATTATTGAAATAGGTTTAAGAGAAAAAATGACATCCTAGGATAATAGGAACGTGCACCCGTTTCCATTAACCACTTTTATAACTTAGTAATTTAATATATATCTGTAAGCAACGATAAACCATTAGTAATGAAAAATCCATTCTGAGCGGAGTTTAGATGATAGTGATGCTTTGTCAACAATATTTATGTCACATTATGATAAAATAATTAAATTGGCTCTACATATTTTCTTTATTAATAGTAATTTAATGTTGTACCGAATTCTCCGTTTTTCCTACGTTTTTCCCGTGATTTTTCTCGGTTTTTCACATTTGTTGGAAAAACTTCTTTTAGTGCATATTTCGATGGTTTTTTGTTTTTTGTTTTTTTTTTTGACGTTTTTGAAATATATACTATTGTAATATAAAAAAAAAAATTATATTTTTATAGTTTCGATTAATATCAAAATAAATAAATAGGTATACTTGTAGGTATAAACGAGTTTGATGTATGCATTATTATTATTCATTTAGCTAGGATAATTATCTCTAATATCAACAAATAAAATAAAATGTATAATTATTACAACGAAAAGAGATTTTTGTGCATATATTTATGTATATTAGAGCTTTTTTAGCTTATATTTGGTTGGTTTTTAATGCATATAAATTCGAACTCTTATAATATTTTATACTAATTGCTATTACAATAATGTATGATCCAGGGTTCGGGACTTGAAATCTCGATAGCTTACTTTGCTTAATAAGTTCTTTAGAGCTAAATAAACACTATAACATTTAAAATTTCAAAAAACAAGTAATGCATTTTTTTTCAAACTATCGAAATTTGCGAAAAAAGTATCGTTGAGCTTATTGTACGAGTTACACGATATACATTTTTAAAGTACTCTGCTAAATTGAATGTCAAGCCAATCAAATAGGCAAATACTATATTTCCAGAACCTTCTAAATTACACTACGATAACACATAGTATTCTCATCGACAAAATCGTTTGGACGAATGTATGTATCGTTACATTATATGCATAATATTGGTTTAGGGAAAAAAAAATCGTAATAGCTTATAATATTATAATAGGGGTGTGGGCATATACTTTTCACACTGTACAGTATGAAGTTGTATACTTAACATACTGTGGTTGGTATATTTGGGGAGATGGCGAAAAGGACGTTTCAGGTGGTAAAATTTGAAATACAAAAGCATAAACATAATACACATTTGGTCTCTGCAGGATAAACGTGCATTACGTAGTAAAACATCCGTTTAACTTCAAATAATCACGTTACTTAGTATTAATTGTACAAAATTAAAAAAATAACATTCGAAGTCAAACGATTTAGTGGCCCTGAAAAGGGCCGTTTTAATGGGTGGGAAAGTAATTGTAATATCCTAAGCAGTCTTTGCCTTGTCAGTCTTCTTGGGTAAGAGAACGGCTTGGATATTGGGTAACACACCACCTTGGGCGATGGTTACACCGTTCAACAATTTGTTCAGCTCTTCGTCGTTTCTGATTGCCAACTGTAAATGCCTGGGAATGATACGACTTTTCTTGTTGTCACGTGCGGCGTTACCGGCCAATTCCAAAACTTCGGCGGCCAAGTATTCCATGACGGCAGCAAGATAAACCGGAGCACCAGCACCAACACGTTCAGCGTAGTTTCCTTTTTTCAATAAACGGTGAATACGTCCGACTGGAAACTGGAGTCCAGCACGAGACGATCTTGTCTTCGACTTGCCGACCTTGGCTTTACCGGCTTTGCCACGTCCGCTCATGTTGATGGAGAGAGTTAACAAGTAGACACGATAAGAGAGGTGTTGTGAAAATTACTAGTGAATGCTGGACATACTCAATTTAGATTAATATATACTTAAAATATAATATTTTCACTATTATAATTGGTTAAAAATAAATATGTAATGACAAGATAAAACAACATTTTCTTTGCATAATCTAGGTAAAAAATATGTTGTTTTTGTTCGTCAAAATTAATATACGAATGAATCAAAATCATTTATAGTAAACCAAATTATTATATTTTTAGTATAAATAACACTGGAATTTCACCGAAATTTCCAATGTGTTCAGTCTTCCCAAATCTACCGTACAGTAATTACATTCGTTCATCAACATGGCTCCATCGGCGAAATCAGCGGGCAAGGCGATGAAGAAATCTGGTAAAGCCCAGAAAAACATCACCAAATCCGACAAGAAACGCAAGCCTAAGAGGAAGGAATCATTCGGAATTTACATCTACAAAGTTTTGAAACAAGTGCATCCCGATACCGGAGTATCCTCGAAGGCCATGAGTATCATGAACAGTTTTGTAAACGACATTTTCGAACGTATCGCGTCCGAATCTAGCCGTCTTTCTCACTACAACAAGCGTTCAACGATCACCAGTCGGGAAATCCAAACCGCTGTCCGTTTGTTGTTGCCCGGAGAATTAGCGAAGCACGCCGTCAGTGAAGGCACCAAAGCTGTAACCAAATACACCAGCTCTAAATGAATCAATTGACCACTGTTAGTAACGGAGAATTATTAATTAAAACGGCCCTTCTCAGGGCCACGAAGTCTTTTATTTAATATTTTTATGGTATAATTTATAACTATTTATTTACAATTAGGAATCGACAGACGTATTGATTATGAATGTAGCATACCCAAAAGTTTTTATCCTAATAAAGGAAATAAAAACAAAACACTGAAATGTATGTTTATCCAATATTTAGGATAACAAGTTCGGAGATTTTTAAAACACATCTGTTCTCATTTATTTTTAAAATTATTTTGTAAACACCTTTTCTTCCCTTCCCTTTATCTGTCGTAAGACAGGATTTCAATCGACAATATTAAATATTTTTCTTTAAATCATTATTTCCAGTAGAATGCATAAAAAGTAACAATTTAAACTAATTAGAATCGTAACACCATACAATATCAGATTTCGTTTTACGTTATTTTTCCTAATTGTAAAGATTACCTTTTATTTTTCTATTGGAGTATATTTCTAATAGAAAAAAAACAGTTGCAAAAATTTAAAAATACAATAACATCGGTAGTATAACTTTTGGTAAAAAAAAGTTGTACACAACAGATAACAGAAAAAAAAATTACATATTCCTATATAAACCAATAGGTCCCTAGACTAACGATCCGAATCGAAAATTAAAATATTTGAAAAAACGGTTTTTACAAAAATCCAGGACGGTCATATTATTAATACAATCAGAAACAAAATGTTTTACAAATAATTACCACCAATGATGGTGAAGAGTCAAATTTCTGCAATATTTTAAAGTTCAAAAAAAATCATTAAAAATATTACTTTTCGTTGAAAAATTGCTAGATAGATAGACATTATTTTTTGATGTTTGTTATAATTTAAATTGTATTCATTTCAACCACTATATCATAAATAGAATTAGGTATTCACCAAATTGTCTTTGAAATATAATCTTGTGAATGATTTCTAAAAAAAATTATAGAAACTAAACCGCTCATCATTAGTAAATATTTCTGATTTTGTAAAAACAGTTAATTAATACAAGATTTAAACAAAAATTATAAAATACGAGTTGTCACAAACAAAACGCTTATTAGAAAAAAACTTATTAAAACTACATGGAATACTGTATGGTTTAGTGATAGAAGAAAATAATAGTAATAGTGATTTATAACAGTTACTATTGAAAAAATTGTAACAGTGAAAGAATGAATGATAGTTGTTATTTTTTATTTTTCATTATTATCATAAGACTGGTAATCACGATGACAACATACTGATAACTGATTACATCATTTATGGCAACGTTTTATTAAGTTTTGTAATTGTTACTAACTGTTATAAAATAAAAATTATTATTATAAAATAATAATTTATTAGATATTTAATATTTCATTTTAATAATCTAATTGTTTAATAACTTAGCTCGTGGTTATTTGTCAGTTGTTAATAAGTAATAATTACTATAACTTATACATGCATTATAAAGAACAGTGTTATCTTAATCCCTTATAGCTTTTTTAGTGTCTAACTGATAAACACTAAATAACGAAAAGTAACAGTAAGTAACTGTATCATTATCGAACTTCAATTTTATTTTTTTTTATGACTGGCCCGGATTTTAGGCACAGTTTTTTAGTGATATTAGACAATGCTTTACAAATACAAATTTTGCTCCATTTAACAGAGACTTCAAAGGTGAAACTATTATTTTGACATTTTTCAATGTTTTAGATTCTAAGTCGAGCAAAGAAGCTTATGGTTTTACAAAGATGTTTTTTTTTCTGTAGACAACGTTTCTGCCTGAGGATTTTCTCGGATTTTTACCTGTAATACCTTTTCTGAAAGGGAATCAGTGTGGAGAGGTACACTGGAGAAGTCATTTTTTTATTTTCCCCAGAGTTTTCTTAATAAATGTGAAAAATTGAAAATATAAAAAATGTAGGCATTAGTTAAAAAATATTACGACCTTTTTTTTTCTGTGAACAATTTTTCTACCAGCAATTTCGCTCCTATTTGAATAGATACCACTTTCTCTGAAAGGAAATTTATCTGGGAGGGTACTTTAGAGACGTTGTCTTTCTATATTCTTCGGAGTTTTCTCAGCAAATGTGGAAAACTGGGAAAAAATATAAGAACCACGAAAAACATAAGAAGACAAGAAAACCGGTAAATATTAAACAAATATTATTAAAGAAAATATACAGGGCCTATTTATCTTGGGATGTCTTATACTAAGACACACTTTTTCCTGTAATAAACAGAAAAAACTCTAGTCCCACTAAACAACTAGCGAAAAATTATAAAAATGTACATTGACCCAATAATCACCAACCCCGGGGCGGCGTGGCCGCCATACGCCATAACTGAACTGGCTGAGAACCGAAAGCATACAAACAACCGCTACACGTATCATCACAGGCTCCCTTATATATATGCAATGTATAGCTTGTCAAGGTTAACAAGATCCTCTTACTACAATACTATCAAAAACCAAAGCAGAGATCTCTACCACCGTAACTCCATCTGCAACACGTAAGGGAACTCGAACCGAAGCCATCATTAGCCCCCGACTGCGTAAACAGAAAAACCAAATATTTTCAAAGTCCCTTTAAGTGGATTCTGCAAGGAGAGCGGTGAAACGGCCAGCCACGGTTTCAGTCGCCATCAGCAAATCAAATTAAATTGGATAATAATACCCTTAAGGGAGAGACTGCATGAGTGGCTAACTGGTTTTTGGTCGTCACAGCATGCACGTAAATAAATAGATTGGTAGTATTTAGAAAAAGTTCTGATCAACTTAAGTATGTACTACTCTGTTTTGGTACTTATAGAAACATCGTACTAAATGACAACAGAATACAGTTTTGCGCTACAATAAAATCAAAGTTAGTGAGTAGCACTGGTGGCCCTGAAAAGGGCCTTTTTAAGAACAGTAATAAAAGTAGGATGTAGAACCTTTTACTTTGGAATAATGACCTTCTTAACTACAGTCTTTTTAAGTGTTTTGGGTATACCAGCAGTAGACTTAGCCGGGGCGTTTTTTGGTTTAACGACCACCTTCTTAGGGGCCTTGGTCGAAGTCTTTTTCGCCTTTTTAGCGGCTGGTTCACCGGAGGCAATTTTAACTTTCTTCTTCTTAGGCGTACTGGCGGGGGCGGGCTTCAATTTTTTCGCAATCGGCTTTTTAACCACTTTGTTTTTTTTCGGTTTGGCTTCGGCGACGGCCAATTTATAATGACCCTTGGTTTGAAGGATGGCGCCGTTCGTTACAGCAGCGGACAAAAACTTCCTAATGAATGGTGCCATCTTAGCTGGATCGACTTGATAACTGGCGGCCAAATACTTTTTAATGGCAGGCAAAGACGATCCCTTGCGCTCTTTCAGTTCCTTGATTGCTGAAGTAACCATAATAGATGTCGGCGGATGTGCGGCTGCGGGCTTCTTCATGGCAGCACTTTTGGCAGCGGTGGTCGCCTTCTTTTTGAGAGCCGGCGACGAAACAACCGGAGCAGTTGGACTGGATACTAACGTGTCGGTCATATTGTCGAGTCGAATTATAAAATCGTAGAAAACGCTAAACAGGTTGAAGAACTGTGACAGGAATGGGTGATATACCGGACTAATGTGTGGTGTTGGTATATATACAATAGGCCGTACCGACTAGTAAACATGCGCAACGCAAAGCCGTCGATCCGCTATAGTTATGCCGACGTTTTTTACGATAACTTTTCAAAAAATCAATTTAAAGACTCGGTTTTTGGTTTGACGGAAAGCCAACAAAATATTGAACAACACTCACTATTTATTTGTCGAATATTTTTCACCAAATAAACACTGTAAACCGTTATTTCGACGGATTTGTTCAGTTTTCGTTTGTCTTAGTCAACTGGCCACCAACAATTTGTTTTCATTCAAAATTATAAAAATTCTATTTTGACATATTCTTCAGATGTTTCCGAACGCGGATACGTTTTCAGATCGACTTTTGATTGATTTCCCGATAAATGGCGGCCATCGGAAAATGGGCATTAGGCATTAGACGTTTCGACGGAAAGCCAACAAGATATTAAACAACACTCAGTATTTATTTATCGAATATTTTTCACCAAATAAACACTGTAAACCGTTATTTCGGCGCATTCGTTTAGTTTTCGTTTGTCTTAGTCAACTGACCACCAACAATTTGTTTTCATTCAAAATTACAAAAATTCTATTTTGACATATTCTTCAGATGTTTCCGAACGCGGATACGTTTTCAGATTGACCTTTGATTGATTTCCCGATAAATGGCGGCAATCGGAAAATGAGCATTTGGCGTCAGACGCTTTACGTATTTATGACGTCGACGATTACACGTTCCATCAGGTAGGGCCATGAAAACAACTTTCATAATATTCATTATATTGAATTTAATATTTATTTGCACAGAATTAAACAAATAAAACTGATTAAATTTGATTTTTAATGTCACCCATAATATTTAAATATTATAGTATAGTATATATAGTATATATATCTAGTATATCCAAATCAAAATCGAAAATGTTTGTGTGGTTGGATGAGCCAAATGCTGTTAGTTTTACAAACCAAGTAAAACATTAGTTATTAATAGGAATCTAATAGCTATTGATGTAGGATTTTCCAATAGGTACTATATATAATATTTTTTTTAATTTTGTTATTGCTAAGTACGGGTACCTACCTATATATTATAATATTTTTACAAGTATTCGCATTTACTGTATTAAGGTTTTATTTTTCAATAAATATATTATTATCGATATCGAAAAAAAATAAAAGGAGGCCATTAATAATTTGTTTTAATAATTGTTAAACGTTTAAAATACCTATTACTTTGATTCTGATATTTATGCCACAATAAGGTAAAATCTCCTCAAAACCCTACCGAGACTACTAGATTCTGTCTTTAGATCAAAATATGCGCATTTTAAATTTTCAGAAAATTGTATACCTAATCTACTTAATTTGCGTCATTGAATTATCTTACATTTTAACTTATATATTATATTATATTTTCTTACAATAACGACTTATGTTTGTAATATTGTTATTAAATTAAATTATTTTACTATTAGTAAGTGTATCTAGCTAGGTTGAATTTAACTTTATAATTTAATATTAAAACTATGTTAATTACCTACGTAATTATTGAGTTATTTAACATTTTATATTTATACTATTTGAGTATCTACATCGACATCTACATCAAAATATTTGTGTTTGTTTATTGAATAAAATCGTTTATCTAAATTTTAAAGTTTGTATTATATCTATTATTTTTATCCGGGGAAATATATTTTTTCCTTGGGTATTTTGACTGATAACCGGCTTCGCAGTAACGATCCAAAATCAGATCATCCAATCAGACACCTTCCAAATCAAATCAAACACATTCTTCATACAGCACACTTGTATAGGCAACCCGCTTAGCATAGCAAAGGCCAATATCAGATGCAATGCGGTGCAACTGGTCAGAGCCAATAATGGATTATTAAAATAAAATGCAACAGTTCCATCGACGTATTATGCATACTTAATGTGACCAGACATCCAAGTTTAGGCGGGAAAGTATGGATTTTTGAATATTACATATTTTCTACATACATTTTATCCGGTGTTAGCGTTACGTTATTTGGCAACACTTGATAATTTTATAAAGATCCTCAACCCCTTGGCCAGCGAGGACCGGATTGCCTGGATTTTTCGGAAGTGTAAAACGAAAAACGATTCAATATTTACGATTTTCATCAACGTTTGATACAAACATTTTTACATTACATATAATTTTTTTTCTTTTTGATCACAAAGCACGACTTATTAGTTATAACCTTCTGTTAATAAATAACTTAAAAATAATACAAATATTTTAAAAATTCGAACACGTCTAAAAAAGTTAAATACAAGTTTTCCTTCCAAATTGTAAGTTCCTACAAACATTTTTAACTGAATTACAAGTTACAACAAAAAAAAAAAGATCATTTTTTAAATTTGGAAATATAAAATATGATCTTACTTTTTAGTAAGGTACTTTACGAAGTACCAAATAGATACGATTTTCTTTTAAAAAAGTTTATATATGAAAATCGGAGCAAAATATTATATGGAAGAAAAAAAAACAGTCGCCATATTAATATTTAATACCACATACTTATATTATATCATAATTACGTTCATAAGTATTATATAACCACGAAGTGTACATTATAACACCGTCGGAACCAATTGGGACGTGTTGGTTAATACAAATTATTTTTTTTATTAAATTTATTTGTTCATCATAAACAGACTATGCTGTGTGTTTGTAATGATAATAAAACATCCTTATATTCAAACTTACTTTTATCTTTTATTAAAATTTAAAATTATTAATCACATCATAGTAAACAAAATAAACAAAATTATTGAAAAATTTTAAAATATTGATACTTTATGTCTGTACTCAATGTTATATTAGTAATTATCATGTATGATAATGGTATACATAATTAAATTACTTCGGTTGTTCATGATTATATATCAATTGATATCACTATCATCACTAACATTGATAATTGAATTTTTGTAAGAATAATAATTGTACCATTTTATAAGTTTTAAAAAAATAACAACATCTTTTCAATAAACTTTAAAGTCTTCAATTTTTTATTGTTGGCCCTGAAAAGGGCCGTTTTAAAACTCGTAATAATTAGTCCAAGACAACAACTGTTTTTTGATTAACCTCCAAAACCGTACAGAGTGCGCCCTTGTCGCTTCAGTGCGTAGACTACGTCCATGGCTGTAACGGTTTTCCGTTTGGCGTGTTCGGTATAGGTGACGGCATCACGGATAACGTTTTCCAAAAACACTTTCAGCACGCCTCGGGTTTCTTCGTAAATAAGACCGGAAATACGTTTAACACCACCTCGACGGGCTAAACGACGAATGGCCGGTTTGGTGATTCCCTGGATGTTGTCACGAAGTACCTTACGATGCCGCTTCGCTCCTCCCTTTCCAAGACCTTTACCACCTTTACCGCGTCCTGTCATTGTGCTGGATGAATATGTGAAGAAATTCTTAGAACGAAGGTCGATTAGCGAATGATAATTTTATGGCAAGTNCCCGTTTTGCTAGACACTCTCTCGACCAATGAGAGCGCTACCAACGGTTCTCGTTTTTGTATATATACTAATTGTAAATGAATGTACGGCATTATTTACCGGTCATATCATTTGTCCGTTCACTGTTCCACAGTAATTATTCGTTTCTATCACGTTTAAACCAATGATCTGACCTCAATATTATGCAAGTCATATTTTGAACGTCTGACAACATACTATGTTCAGCAAAATGTTATGCTGTAAATTACTTTTTCAAAATCAATATATTCCTGATATAATATCTTTATAAACGCATTCACTCTAAAGTCCAGTGTCTACCAACATTGTGTTTGCAATGATAAATCGTTACGTACAGATACATTAATTAATTTCCCCTCTATATCCTATCTTTCCAATTTCTCACCTACAACAGTGACCCACTCATCGTGCAAAGTATGTTCGGGTTTTTTTTTTAAATATATACTACTATTTATATGGTGAATAATAGAATGAAAACAAATTAACTATACAATAAACAACCTAATTCATTGAATGAAGGAGTAATAAAAAATCGTTATTAATGTAGTGATAACTACTTTTAATCATTTTATAAACTGTTATTGTGACAGAAAAAAAAAATAATTAACAGTTACTATTTTTTGATAATAAAGCTGCATCTGGCACTAATACAATATTATCTACTATTATTTTTCGTTACAGATTATTTTAATGTTTATTAGCTAGATACTAAAAAAGCTAAAAACGATTAACACCAGCAGTTATTATTATGCATGCACACGACGTAATAACAATTATTATTTATTTACAATTAACAAATAATCTCGACCTAAACCATTTAACAATTAATTTATTAAAATTAAATATCAAATATACCTAACAGATTATAATTCTGATAATAATAGTTTATATTTTATAACAGTTACAAAACTTAATAACACGTTGCTACAAATGGTGTTACCAGTTATCAGTATACCTACTATCTATACCGTGATCACCAGTCTTATGATTATAATAATAACATAAAATAACGGTAATTGTTAGTTCTTCTTATTTTAATTTTTCTTGTTATTGTTACTTCAATAGTAAAGACTAATGATGCGATTCCTATGCACGCGCCAGTAGACAGACGCGACGGGACGCAGTGCGATTTAAATTTCAGCTGCCGATTTTATGGCCACGATGCATGGGTAAGCATTATCACGGCGTACCGTTTAGATCAAGACATATTTTGCTATAATAGTTATGTTGGTTAATAGGTTAATATCTTTAAACAAAATACAAAAACGAATTTTAAATCAAATTCTTTCGCAAGAAATAGATGAAGAACTATAGCAATTTTTAAAATAGGGTAGTGTTTGAAAAAAATCCCACAAGACCCGTGAGATGTTTTTAGCTAGGATGATAGAAGGTGTCTTCAGTATATTCCAATTGTGGAACATTTGTGGAGAGCAATTTACGTACGTCTTAAATGTAATAAAGAACGATATTACGGTATTAAATTTCCAAAACCAACAATTGCTGTCGAAAAATTAGCAGACACTTGGAACACTAATCTGCATATGCACCACAGAGA